AATCTCTTCCGGTTTTCTTGCTTTCCAATCAACTTTGATGTTCAAAAAATTAAATGCAATGTCAGTCGTTATCGTCTGTCCCCTTGATTCCTGTTCTTTTATTGTCCTCTCTTCTTGACAATAACTTGGACATGGCAGAAAAAAAAACGACCTACCAGTATCGGATGATATCGTCAATCAGGTTCGGAAATCATATGTGTTAAGCCCCAGAAAGTCTGTGAGAAGAGCGTCTATGGAAACCCAGATTCTTCGTACAGCACTATGGCGTGTAGTAAGGAAACGCTTTCGACTGATACCTTATAAGCTGCAAATGAACTCAGATGACAGAGAAAAGCGCAAGTAATTTTCTGTCGCTATGCAAGAGAAACTTGATGGTAAGGAGTTCGAAAAACGTCTTGTTTTTAGTGACGAGGCCACATTTCATAAGAATAGCAAAGTCAACGAGCATAATGTTCGCATTTGTAGTGGCTGGTGGTGGGGATTAGAAAATCTCCATGCCACATTTTACATGACGTAGTTACTCAGATATTCAATGATGTCAATTTTTGGGGGACACCCTATATTTACAGCCTTAAATGTCAGTGAGACACTGGCTATATTGGTAGAACTACTCAGATCGGAAACGAGTATAAATCAACGTTCTGGCTAGTATTCGATAGACCCAGTGTAATAACTGACATAGATGCGTAACTACATCTGGATCTGCGATAGCGGATCACCTATTATATATCCGTAAGTGTGCTACGTTCTCTCACGAAGATAGGTTATCAGTTTTGAATCAGAAGCATTCGGACTATCACTTGAAAGTACTGGAGACAATATACATAAAGTTTTTACAGTCATTCCCCTGCAGATAGAAGAAGTTACTACTATATTCAAAACAATAAAAGATAAAACAATAAGTTAAAACATGTCGGGGTAATTTACTCCATCGCCTGTAATATTTGTTATAAAAAATACATAGGAGAAACCTCAAGGAATCTAAATAAAAGATTATATGAACACAAAAGGGACATTTTACAAAACAATACGTCAAATGCATTGATTGCCCATAGTAACAAGACTGATTAGAATTTTGACATAAGAAATGTCACTCTGATCAAAGGAGAAAACAATTCACTATGACGTAAACTTCTAGAGATAGGCAAGGTTATCTACAGTAAATTTGTGTGTTGGCTCTTACAACATTTCACCATTCCTGGCAGAACTTCCATTATCACAGTGTGGGATATCTACTAAGAAAAGTGATGGAAAGGAAAAGAAAAGGAATCTAATTAAATTCGGCTAGGTATATAACAAAAAATTAAATTCTAGCACCCCTCTTTCGTGCGCATGTGTAGTCGCACCAACATAACAAATTTTGTCCGATGAAGTCCTAAAGGATGAAACGCGTCGCAAGTAAACTTTTTCCTCCTCACACACACACACACACACACACACACACACACACACACACACACACACACATATATATATATATATATATATATTTATTAAAAGAAATTTTTATGTTTAACGTTTTTTTTTATAAATAATATTTTCGTTTTTCAATGAATAAATTATCGAACTTTGTCCATTTCTTAATATATATATATATATATATATATATATATATATATATCAAGTGATGGTGTTGAATGTAGAACTTTATATATATATATATATATATATATATATATATATATATATATATATATATATATATATATATATATATATATATATATATACATATGTAGTCCTACCAACATAAATTTAGTCCGATGAAGTCCTAAAGGATGAAACACGTCGCAAGTAAAGTTTTTCCACTTTGTCATACATTTCCCCAATAATGTTCTTGATATATAAAAATGTATATCGTTATTTCATATATTGGTATATTATTAATATATGTGTATTGTTTCGTTAATTTTCCCTTGTTTTAGTTGCTGTGTACATTTCCTCAGTGTCAACGGATATGTCCCGGAAAGCGATATATTTGTTCGAAGTAGCAAAGTGGTTATGGACTACTGTAACTGAGTAGGAAATTCTAGCAGGTAACCGTAATAGACTGGTCCTCGTCGTAGTGGTAGGCAATAGGTGTAGGCAATTGGCGTCGTCAATAGGTGTCGTCCATGTACCTCCACATCAGTCTGTATTTATGGCTGACACCAGCCAATCATATTACTGGGAGGGGGGGAACCCAGGTGTATGCATATTCCTTACATCATCAACAAATTTGCTGAAGCGTCCTGCTTATTCGTCCTCGCGAAACTGAAATCTTGTTCCAACCCAACCGTCCCACAACAGACAACCACCCATCCATCTCCATCGATGGAACAGATCTGAAGACTATGGAGGAATTTAAGTATCTTCCAGGTGTTATTTTCGACCATGGCTCCCTCGACAAATAGAACAACGCCAGGATCTGAAAGTCAGCTCAATCCCTGGGCAGACTTCACAAAAGAGCATCTTGAACTTTCGATGAACACTGACAAGATCGAGAATCGGCATGTAACGTGTGTTGTGGGTGGGGGTCAAACATGTCCCGTCGGCTCGGTGGAAAGCTTGGGCAAGAGTTTCCCTTTGTATATTTAGGTATAACTAGCAGTAGAGCCCGGCGTTGCCCGGAGATGTAACAGTAAGAGATAAATCAAGTATCAACCCTCATAAAGACTGAAAAATAAAATTGACAAAGATTATTGTTTAAGGTTGACGGACACGCATGTCTTAATTATTATTATTTTTTTTAAAATTTTTTTTTACGAATTGGTCAAACCCAAACTCAAACAAAAACATTGTTTTCAATTGTTATGAGTCTACCGATTGAATAGAATTTTATTATAAATAATTGTCTTGTAAATGGAATTTTAAAGCATTCTGTATTTAAAAATATAGAAAAAAGTGTGCAAAACAATAAGAAACACTACCAGTCCCCCCGCAAAGTGAAGTTTTGTTGAAATCAGTTGAAAAATGTAGGAAATCCGATCCCATATATAAACGAACACACACACACACAAACAACCTGGGTTTTATAATAAGTATAACTCGATATGAGTTGTCCCCCTTTCATTCTCGTGATGCTTCTTAATCATGTTTTCAAATTGATTTCGTGCAAAAACAAATGTGTTTTTTCCAATTTTTGGCACTGTCAGAACCACCGCAAGGTAATTTTACGTAGTCCGGTGAAGTTTTGTTGAAATCGGTTGAAAAATGTAGGAAATCCGATCCAATATATAAATGTACAGACACACACACACACACACACACACACACACACAATCTGCGTTTTATAATAAGTAAGATGACCCATTTTTAAAAAAAAAATTTCATGTGTTTGTTAGTTAACTAAACACAATAAAACCGGTACGTCGTATCGGAATATTTTAAACCGTTAAAATGCTCTAAATTGGACGATAAAACAGTTGTCACTCTAGCCAAGTCACCGGTTTTGGAGTAATTATATATATTTTTTTCTGTATTATTTATTATAATTAATATTTAATTAAGTAGACGTTAAGAAAAATACTCAGGGTTTATTAACTATTAACTATAGGAATTTCCCTGAATTTTCTTCATGTATGAGGAATAAGCAGGTGAAAATCCTTGACTTGTCTGGACTCCATAAACCAAAGTGATACTATTAACGATACTTTAATAATAATTAAGATCTAATATTAGAAAAAAACAAAATAAATTCTATAAATAGGAAGCCACTTGATATCGAGACGAGGTCGTATTTAAGCGATTTAATACTGACGAAAAAAAATCAACACATCGGCACTACCCCGAATAAAAGTAATTGTAAATATGAATAAAAGTATTTAGACTTTGAATATAAATACTTTTATTGTCAATAAAAACTCTTGTTTTAAATAAAATTATTTATAAATAAACAAAAGACACTAGGGTAATATTAGCAGTAGTAGGAATAACGCATTTAAAACGCATTTTACTCTGTGAAATCAAATTTAAAATTAATCCAAGAGTGTAAAAAAAAAACTCAATCCAAGAGTGTCAAAGAAAAAAAAAGCCGATTGCAGTCATTTCATGGAGATAGTTTTGAGTGCGTGTACGTATCTCACTGTCGCCAATTACTTTTTAGTTTTTCCCAGATAAATGATAATATTCCGGTTTTCTTTCTGAAAGCAAACATAAGATAGCATCACCCGGTTCATTTTTTTTATATTTTTTTTTTTGCTTTTCGTCTGAAAAATAAAATATGAAAGAAAAAAAAAAAAGAAAGAATTTTTTTTTTTTTTTTCAATTGGAAGTTAATGACTCGGGAGTTCAAGGTAACGAATAGATTCACGCATAAACGAGATTTGCACGTGATTTCGCAAGCGCAGATTGCAAACGCACACGCGTCAATAATTTCTGGTATCCGTCGGTAATCGGAAAATAATTACTGATATAGTTGAAGGTCATAAATTTTTTTTCCACCATCGTAATTAAAAGAAAAAAAAAAAAGGTTCAGTTTTTTTTTTTTAATTTTTTTTTTTTTTTTTTCGTGTATTTTATATCGAGCCGAAGCCAACCGAAGTACGTGAACAGACGAACGTTATGTGACGTCAAGGAAGAAATCTTCGCTGTTTACTTGCGAACTCATTATTCTAGCAATTTGCATTGAAAGTTATCGTACGTTTGGGGAGTGTTGAGAAGATTTAATACTTTGTTTGACTAATTTGTTTCTTTGTTTTTTTTTTGTTTTTCCGAGGCTTATTCTACGTTTCTATTTCTGAACAGAGTTTATCAATGACTAATCTCCTGATTAAAGCGACTTCGTTCCATTATTATAAAATAAGACGTTTTTTTGTCTATGTGGTTAAAGATGCGTCCATTAAAAAGAATGTATCTGAAATTTGAGCTTTGGTCCACCATTAGAACATAATGCTGTCAAATATTGTAGATCTTGAAGTTGCTTTCATTTCTCTTTCGCTAGAGTGATGGCTTAGTGAGTTTTGTAAAATCCTACGACATTAAACGTGATTTCTAATAGTAAAAATGGTATTTTTTAAAAGCACAAATCTATTTCATTCATATCTCTTTGTCTGCTTATCTATCTATCTCAGTCTGTTAATATCTATCTATCTTTCTATCTCAGTCTGTTAATATCTATCTATCTATCTATCTATCTATCTATCTATCTATCTATCTATCTATCTATCTATCTATCTATCCAAGACATCATAGTCGGGGAGGAAAGTTTTGTTGTACTAATATTAAGATAGCCTACCTGTTTTGTCAGTTATATGCCATGCTTGATACACGCTTAGGCGTTCATGTATCTTTCGAGGCAGATTTTTTTCCCGCGGTAGGTTGCCATTTTTTTCTTTCTGCGATAGAACAGTTGCCATCCAATGCTATAGAACCCGGTCTGTCCTGCTATTTACACATAGCTGGGAAGGCACCGTGGAGTAATGATTAGCGGCTCGGAGTGAGGAATCAAAGAGCCGAGTTCGAATTACAGTCAAATCCATTACATTCACTTACATGTTAATACCCTTGGGAAAAGTTACGAATCCTCTTCTTCTACCACCAGCTATGGGTAAATAGCAGGACAGACCGAGTTCTATAGCTTTGGATGGCAACTGGTCTACTGCAGAAAAAAAGAAATGGCAACCTACTTTAAGAAAAAAATCTGCCTAGTCAGTCACGTATCGAAAGATACATGATCGCCTAAGCGTGTAACACGCATGGCACATAACTGACTGACCTGTTTTGAAAATCAGCATTGAAAAATCTTTTACCCAAACCTGAACACCGCTACCTTCCCATGGGCCTCGTGGAAAATACGTAACTGCATCTACATTCTTCCTAAACTATGCATTATGTCAGGTTTTATTATGCAAGTCAATGTTTTTGCAATAAAATCGATATTAACCAACCGATGATGGGTAAATTTTCAATATATCTGTCTAATATTAATATGAATTACTATGGGGCATAAATTGGTTCTTGGCGTCTGTTTCCTACTGTTATCTCTATCTATAAAAGGCAGGATGTGTGTGTGTGTGTGTAACGAATGCACGACCGCAATTTTCGACGGATTTGCACCAAAATTTACATGCACATGCTCCAAGTTAGCGGGAAGGCCAAAACCGACATTGCATTTCACATCGATAGTGGAAATAATTGATTTTTCATGCTTCTACGGCAGTCTTCATGTAGTTTGCGGCCATTTTGTACTGGCCAGAGTGAGAGCCTATAGCTGGCTGCCACGAATAGGCAGGAAGATTTTATTGGCCAGTGTGAGAGCCAACAGCTGACTGACACGAATGTTAACTAGCATGCAAAAAAAATTGATAGCTGCATTCGTTACAAGTGGGAAAAATTTAAATCTGCATGGCTCTTTACTCCAATTGGCTCATTCGCTTGATTAAACTCAACGTTGATTCTGATTCCGCAGAAGTGGGTTGGGTGTGAAAAAGTATTTGTTGTTAACATTCTTTTTTCATTCGGTTTTTCCAGTTACCAGTCCTTTTTTTTAAAGCTGATCGTTTTGTGTTCATTTTGTTTAGTTCTTTTTTCGTGACAGATTTATTGTTTAGTATAGAGCTTAGAAAAAATTGTCAGTGTGAGATAGGCAAGAAGTAAGGCATGTAGTAACATCAGCACGGCAAAGGGCACTCTTTTAAAGGCAAGGAAGGGCAAAAATATTTTAAGTCAAGTGATAGCGATTGCTGTATGAGTCGTACGATTTTTGAATCAAGCACGGGCAACGCCGGGCCATGCTGCTAGTTAAGTAATAAATTGATCCACCCTAAAATTCCTGCATTGTGTCAGATTTTATTATGTACCATTTTCGTAATACAACTCTCATTAAGCAACCAATCTTCGTAACATTTTCAGGATAATTATATTTATTTGTGAAATACACCATCATGTGCACTTCAGTTTTTAAGATCAGTTTTTACAAGAAATATTTTCTTTGGCGGTGTTTTCTTTGCAGCTCGTGTGTCGTGATTCATATTGTAAATAGACATAATCAATAATTATATAATGTTATAGTGATACTTGATTCTTAATTTCAGTTATATAAAGATTGCCGTAAGAAAGATAAGGAGAAAAAATATCTTGTAAAGTTATTGAGCAATTGGAACACAACATTGGAAATTGCCAAAAAAATATTGAACATATATCATAGAAGAGTAGGGCATCTCGAGGTGGTGTAATGGTCTCGCTAGAATATTTACGACTGAATAGTGAGTTCGTTCCTCACTAAGGGCCCCATACTTTCGACCTTGTGCCACATCTAAGCTACGCTTGGAAAATCACTAGGAGAGTGAAAAAAGAAAATGAAAGCTTGGTAAGGAGAGAATTATGGTTTTAAGAATGTCACAAAATGAAGAAAAAAGAATCCCAGCAGTTCAGACCTTTACAGCTAAAACCCATCATGGCTCGTATACAGGGTGTTATGTCGTCACTATGACACTTTGTTGCCACTCTGTCTATGACAACGTATAATTGCTTGATACCTCGTCAATGCCAACGTAGGAGAGACTTTGTAATCGCAGATACCGATTATAATACGCCATTGCATAATACTCGTATCAGACGTCTTAGAATAATACTTGTAGTAATAGTACGTCGTATAGTGAGAAGAGACTGCCGGAATAGTATAGGGGATAGAGGAGAAATAGCGAATACATCCTACGTCACGCGACTTCCCCTATATAAGCGTTTCTGCTAAGGTCACGTGATCTACTTAATGAATAATGCGATCGCATGTGTTTGTTCACTTAAGATACACGTTCAAACACAAGTGTCGGCAGTGAGACTTTATTCCTATAAAGTCTAACCTACCTGGTTTCATTAGTTCCTTACTAATGAAATCAGGTTGGTTTGGCCCTGTGTTATATAGGAAGTTTCATTTGGACAGTTTCTTTTTAAGTATAGCTATTTTATGAAACAGACCCCGGAAAAGATGCTCCCCCAATTACTACGATCTTAAACTGATTGGGTAACTCATTATCTGGAATGACTTTTAAACCCTGTATTTTATGAAAAAACAATAAAAAACATTATTTGACGAAGCTGTTGTTGTGAATGTAAACCAAAAAGAAAAGATGCAAAGTTTTAAAACTATTGGCTAACGGCATGAAAGCAACCAAACTACCACATTTAAGTAAACAGCACAAAGATATGAAAATTCAGTATAGTGATGAATGTAGAGCTACATTGGTTGAACCCAACAGTTGGTTCAGAAGTTAGGTCCTTCATCGAAATAGCCAACCAACATGACTTAGAAGATTACAGTTGATGGGTGCGGGGTTAATCTTTTCGGCGAATATTGTAGACAGTGAAATTATAAGTCCCTTTCATGGTGTCAAGATAAACTCAGAGAATTATTATAATTTCTTGTAAAAGGGCTTTTTTAGTAGTGCATATAACCATCAAAAATATTTTAAGATAAAAAGTATATTCATGCAAGACAATGTTGTTTCGTATTCTGAGAAGATGATTATTGCCCACCTTGCCAACAAAGGTTTCAAAGACACCAAATTAATGGGAAGAAATTTATGCTTCATCATTAATATATATATATATATATATATATGTATATATATATATATATACTGCAGGGGTTTGCGGAAGATTTGGAGCGAGAGCGGATAGGAGTGATAGAAGAAAGGATGAGGAGAAGGATAGTGGGTAGATCAAGGTAACTGGAGGTGTCGATTGACATTACATTTGAATAGTTGGAGATTATAGCTTTCAGAGAAACAGTAATTGGGAAGGGTGTTCCACTGGCGAGAGGTGCGAGATATGAAGTTATTGGAGTAGAAGAGACGGCTACATTTAAAAATTTCTATAGTGTAAGGGTGGGAGCGCGATGCCAGCCTAGTAGGGCGCTTGAATTCATGGAGTCTGGGAATCAGTGAAAGCAGCTCATCGGAGCAATTACCATGGAAGTATTTGTAGAAAAGACAGAGAGAGGCGACGTCGCGTCTGTGAGAGAGTGACTGCAGACGAGACGCCAGATCAGGGCCAATTAGATTATATATCCGTCTCTGGATCTTGTCAAGAACTCCGAGGTAAGCAGAAGGTGCTCCAGCCCATATATGGCAGCAATACTCCATGCAAAGGCGAATGGTTGTTTTGTATATTTGAAGTATCGATTCAGCGGAAAAAAATTTCCCGGTGCGGCACAGATTTCATTAATATTTAAGCTTACCTTTTAAACGTTCCAACGATAATTCTTCTGTGGACACTTAATTTAAAGTCAATTTGATGTACGTAGACCCTTCCTTTCCGTAGAAACAACTATTTTTATTTCATGGCTGACTTTCGTTGGATTTCGCAATTAATTTAAATTATTGCCAAATTTATTCCCAACTTATAAAATTTGTTATCATACAAAAAAAAATTCGTCGCAAAAAAAAAAATCAAGTAAAAAATCGCCAAAAACCATTACAGTAAGGACAATTTGGGAATCCAAAGTTTCAGGATTGCGGGTCCGGATCCAACTCGGAATTTTTTTAATTTGCTCACGGAGTCGGCCTGATCCCAAAATGCTATAATATGTTGGGCTTCAGCCTCTAGGAGTAAAGTTGAAAAAAGTGACACAGTGACACACTGACATTCGAATTTATTATATATATATATATGGCCTGAAGATTACGTTCAAACATGAAACGTATGTTTTAGTTGAATTCGCTGTCATTTTAAACAGTGAAATTAATGTCAATCTTTACTAAGGAAAAATGTACCACCCGACAGGAAACGAACCTCTATCCCCTTTTTCCATCGACGAAACGTCTTTATCCGAACTGTGACCCTACAAATATATATATATATATATATATATATATATATATATATATATATATATATATATATATTTTTGCTCCTTTATATCTATCTGTCTATCTATCTATCTATGAAGTCAACCTAGAGGACGAACCGCATTACATAGAAATTTTCCAACTTTGTAATTTAATTGCCTTCTTATTTTCTGATATATAGAAATGTATATATCATATTTTCCCTTTCTATCTAACATATATAACATATATCTATCTATGTATCTATATCTATATCTATCTATCTATCTATCTATATATATATATATATTAAGAGAGAGAGAGAGATAGAGAGAAGGAGAGTGTGTGTAAGAGGGAGAGAGATAGAGAGATAGAGAGAGTCCGCCAAAAAAATGTATACACACCTGAGGAAAGAAAAACTTGTTTTATCAAATGGCATCACACTCACCTTCGGTTACCAAGAA